TTCAGCATTAGCAGGAGGAGTCCTAAGAAGCTGCAAAGTCCTGGACTACACCAGATGCGCGCCATATTTGGGAGGCATGTGTGGGATTTTTCGGCGAAGTAAAATAAATTGTGTCTTGTACCTCTAACTATAATTCTGTTTTGCTGATCGTTCTGTAAAGAGAAAAGGACAGCATTGATAGCCATGCGTGAAATTTGAGGGTTTATTGAATGTATGGTATGTGTGTAGCCACAACCTTATGACTCTACGGTTCTACAGAATTGGACACATAGGTAAATGTACAGTTCCGGAATCAGTACACTTGATGGGTCCCATTTTTTTGTTCATCTGGCAAAGTCTTAGATATAAATATAGCGTAAAAAGCATTTTTACGAATGAGACGAAATATTTTTTTTAAATGCGATTTGACTTTTCTTATCGTCACTAAACACTAATTAAATAAACATGAACACCGCAGTAGGACTGCAATAAAAATATAGATGTTTTACCATTGCGCGTGGTAAAATGTTAAAACGTATGTGTGTGAGTGTGTGTGTGTGTGTGAGAGTGTGTGTGTGTGTATGTATATGTGTGTGTGTGTGTGTGTGTGTGTGTGTGTGTGTGTGTGTGTGTGTGTGTGTGTGTGTGTGTGTGTGTGTGTGTGTGTGTGTGTGTGTGTGTCCGCGCGCAAGCCAAAACTTGGTGATGAGTAACGAAACGGTATGTATATATCCTTTTGTTTAATCTCAGTGTACTTTATCTTGAGCTAAAAATCGGATCATAGTTTTCGCTATTATTATTCCAGAAATCTTGGCGTTTCTCTAGCAACTACTAGCTGGGTGGTTCCAAGTAGGGTGTAAGAACTTATTCGCAGTGATATCTGGTATTTTGAAAGAAAAAATCTTTATTCTGAAGAAATGGGCACTTTATCTCGCTCTCTGCTTTTATTTGTCATTTATCAAAGGGCTTTTTTGTAACATTTTCATACTAAGTACAAGGTATGTAATAAGAAAAAAATACTTTGAGTGAATCTGAGAAATACCAGAATACTAAGTACTTTAGCGGTTGTTAATTGACTTTTTCATGCGAAATAAAGTTTTAAAAAATAACATCCCCTTTTCTCAGAACTTTGTATCGTCAGTACAAACTTTAATATCGTGTTTTGTTGCGACCATGATACAACTTGAAACAATGTATCAGTGTTTGGGGTTGCGAGGTGTTACAAAAAAAAGGCCTTAAATGTTTATTTCCTTGTCTGCAAATGTACATTCGTTTACAGTATATGCGTAAATGCAGATAAAATTGTCATACTTGTGTTTTGTCACAAAATAACTTTTTCGTATATTATCTTGATATGTTTTTTGAACAAGTAAACTGACCGGAGTGTTTTCTTTTCGTCAGATCCAGACACTGATTCGATAAACAGAAAATGTACTACGTTATAATAATTTTAGAACTTTAACTGAAGGCAATGCCGTGGTAGGGCTACAGTGAATACATGGATGACTGTGTGTATGTGCGTGCTTATTTGAGGAACTGATGTTGTTAAACATTTGATGTAATATCATTGGTTTTATATTCCATGTAGTTTACAACAAACTTATATAATATAATATAGTTATTTCATTCTATTTGATTTTATTTATTTATTTTTTATTTTTTTTTTTTATTTATTTTTTTTTTTTGCGTGAAGCTAACCGACTAATTGGTAGGATGCTAATTAATTTTTGAAACATTTTTGCTATTGCTTTATTTGTAAAAAGAAAAACGGTAATATCTGTAGAAGAAAATAATGGGGGCAGTCATACTTATAATAAGGACAATATATCGTTATTCAAAACCTTGTCAAATCCCGGGACACGTAACGCGTTTTTTTTTCTTTCTTTCTTTCTTTTTTTCTTTCTTTTTTCTTTTTTTTTCTTTTTTTTGAGGTCTTGGATTCCTCCGTAACACTTTCCATTCCCGTTTAGCATGATCCGTTAGCTACCAGGAGATTCTTTCATTCGCCGTTTCCTAAACATTTTTCATCGAGTTTGAGCCACGTCTCCTTGGAACTGCCCAGCTATGTAGTTAGCTTGAGCTGAAACAAGCAAATACGTATTTTCTCCCTCAGCTGATCGAATGTGGATGTGACTCCTCAGAGAAACGCCGAGACTTAAGAAATGATGTCGAAACATAGGATCAGATTTTACCACAAGATAAAGAGCATTTAGAATAATTGATTAGAATTATACATACTGTTTCGTAACTCATCACCAAATACTGGCTTCGTATTTCATGATAAAACATCAATATATGCGGTTTTACGCCCGGATAATGTTTTATAATGAAAAAAAATGATGCAGTAGGTTTTCTTTTTAATTAATCAGTTAATTTATTTAGCCGCTACTAGACGGTGCAGCTACGACAAGCAATTAGAAAGATAAATGATACTTGCTGTGTTAAAAGGAGGAAAATGCCGCCTCCTTCATGTTTTTTTTATAACTTATTTGAAGAAAACGAAAGATCAGATCGCTTACTA